GTCACTGTCTGTGCGATCATCCACGAGATCACGAGCGGAGTGTTCTTCGGGTCCGGAAGCATACCCTTCGCGGTGTCGAAGAATCCAAAGTATGCCGCTCTGTAGATGATTATACCTATTCATTGGCACAGATATAGCACTCAATTAGCACTCATGTTAACCACACGACCCTCCAGTTCCTCCCATACCTTGAACAGAGACATTGAATCCACGGTAGAGACCGATAAGTCCGTCCGATTTGTATACTTTCACCAAACAGTCGCCTAAACCAGTGAATTGTCTGTCGGCTCCGCCTTTACCGATATCTGCACCCAATCGGGTTCGGGCGAAGTCCAAGGGGTAGACAAAGCACAGGGATGTGGCACCGGCTGCTCCACCGGACGCCAGGTTTCCTAAGAAGTATCGCCAGAATTGTTTGTTTTTGTCGACCCCTCCCAAGAAGACCTGTTTGTATTTGTCTTTGAAGGCGAAGTTCAACGCCTGAGTCGGGAAATATCGGATCACATTCGCGAAGTTTCCTCTCCAGTAGGCGACGACTCCCTGTTCTTTAGGAATGCGTACAAACGCGTCGATAATACCTGTCCACCGAAACAACCCGTCAGTCATCGCCTCATTATCTCAATGTCTTACGACTCATACCTTTGTATCGCTGGCTTTCCGCGATCTGTTTAGACGCGTGTTGGACCTGAAGAAGGAGTTTCACTCTCTCGATGGGCGCCACCGCTGTCTTCGAGATGGCGGCCGACACACCGCCGGCAATGAAGTCCTTAGCAAACGAAACCGCGTCGATCGGCATTATTGCTGTTAAAACACAAACTTATCAATTAATTACTGATCGATAAATTTGTTTTAGAAAAATTCTTAAAGAACTATCAAGTACATTAACTTAATATTTATTAAAAAAGTAATTAAAAATATATCTTTCATAAGCAATAAAATTTGTGATTTGTTAGCATTTTTCAAAAATAAGTTTTACTAACTTAAAGCATTGGTTTTTATAATAGATAATTATTTCAATGTTTATAAATTGTTATACAGTACAGTATTTTGTGAAAGTTTTATTTCAATTAAATGTGATTTTACAAAAATTATTGAGAACGTGTAATCCATTTCAATACAAACTATTATTATGGGAATAATTGTAATTATAATCACTTTTCAAATAACTAATGGAAAATCAATTGAAATTAATAGTGAGAAAGTAAGAAGTGATGATAATTATTGGGTAAACAAGTCAATAGTAAACACCAAATCAAAAATATCTGTCAATGAAGTCAACGATATAACGGATATAAAGTGCAAACAATTATTTCTAGTTATGGTTTTCGGTTCACAAGTCAATATTCTGTGTATTAAATAAGATTTATGACAATATATTATTATGTATTCTTTAAACTTTATTCATAATTTTAATCTATTTTGGTGAACTCAATATTCCTACAGAATGTTCATAATTGATCAATCTATTTGAATACCATTATAACCATTAAAATATTCTATGCGATTTTTAAATATCTATTTTTAATTAAGTAAATCACAATATAATGATTACTTAGTAATATAATGAATAAGAATATAATATATTATGCTATAAAACATTTCCGCAAATTTAGAGCTCTTATAATATCTTAACATTTCATTAAACATTAATATAATGCATTTGAATACTCTATTATGAAGAACATAAAAAACAATTACGGTATATATTCTGGCATTAATTCAAATGATAAATAAAAATAGAGTTCACATATGATAGCATTGAAATCAACTATTTCTTAACATTTCACTTATTCTGTGAATTCTTAGCGTAAGTGTTGGCAGAAGACGGCAGTCATTCAAGTGAGAGCTCAACCAGTTTAACGTCATATCCATTGACGCTTTTGTGTGAGAAGTTTAAAGAGTTATTACAAAAATAAAATGAATCGTGGTCATTTACTAATATTTTTTAGAAATTGAAAAACAATTCTTTGGTAAACTAATTGTGTAATTTGTAATTGTACATTCACTCAATCTTCTTAAATTAACCTTTTATAAAATATTTTGTAATATTCTTATAAATAGATACACTGATATTCAGGCATGCATGTGCTTTTATAATGTACCGGTGTGCCATTCAAGGGCATTAACAATTTTTATGAATAGGTAAACCGGCATTTTTTCGCCGATAATGTTTACAATTAATAATTTAGAAATTTATTTTAAATTAAAACTATTAATACAATTTATTAATACAATTGAATATTTAATTTAAAAATATTCTGATCATTTGTAAATATCTGTATGGAAACAAATTTCACATTAGTTTCTATGTTAGCCTTCAATTACTGGTTACGACAATCAAATAATCTTTTAATAAAACTTTGATAACTAATTGAAGTAACGGTGATAATATTATATCATATTTAATACTAGTTATGTATTAATTGTTACACAAAGTGCTATACATTTCTTTGACATAAAATACAGACATTAAAAATGAACTTAAAATCCCTGAAAAATTAATGAATGGAAAAATCAATACAAAAATTTACTGAAATAATGTAAAACTAAATTAAGATTTTAAAAATAAAATCAATCAAATATACAGACAATGGGTTTATAGCGTAAAAGTTAATTCTGGTTATAACTGGTTGGGTTTGGATTAATACAGAAATAGGAAATAAATGTTTAAAATTAATTACAAATGGCATACAATGACAATGCGGTCGAAAAGTGAACCGAAATATGAATTATATTTCATCTAAATTTTCAAATCAACTCCAATTTCAATTAAATGCTAAAATTAGAAATTTATAATAAAACTAATAAAACTAAAGTTATTAGATATTTTGAATCCAATTATACAAATTACCGGACATACAGTATATGTTAACATAATTTTTTAGCAAATTTAACAAATATAAAACTAAATTTTAATTTATTGTAAATTTGTAGTAAAATTTATAATAAATAGTAATTATAATTGGAATATAAAGTAATAAAAAGTTTATAAAATATTATAAAACAAACCGTTTTTGGCGATAAATGTGGAGAACCCGTGAGTTTGTCAGACGAGTGTCGAGATTAGACTGAATAGAGGAATGGATCTCGTGA